CTGGATGTCCATGGTAAAGATAAGGTGTTGGGGACCAGGGAATCGGACGTTTTGGAGGAGGTGGAGGGCGTGGGTGGTGTCACGGACGTAGGTGGGGAGTTGCTAGACCAAGGGGGAGAAAATGGAGTCCTTTGGTGACCTTATCTGTATCTGTCACTACCATAACCCCACCCCCCAAATAAAAAATGCTTTTGCCTCTGGGAAAACAACCCCACTTTCTCCAACTGAACCCAGCTAAGACCTCACACATAAGTCAACATCAAAGTGAAGTCAGAAACAAAAACAGAAGTTGCTGGAAAAGCTCAGCAGGGCTGGCAGCATCTGTGAAGAAAAAAATCAGAGTTAACATTTCAGGTCCGGTGACCCTTCCTCTGTTCCAAGCCACATGAGTACACCTGTAGATATGGTATACTGTGGATTCCAGAAGGCATTTGACACTGTGCCACATCAAAGGTTAGTAGCAAAATTACAGCTGATGGTGTAGGCAGTAAGATACTAACAGGAAGCAGAGATGAGGGATAAAAGAGTCATTTTCAGGTTGGCATGACTGGGATCACAGCTGGGATCTCAACTATTTACAATTTGTATCAATGATGTGGATGAAGGGACCATAGATATGGAATAAAATGTTGATTTGATTTGATAATTTGATTTATTATTGTCACATGCACTCAGATACAGTGAAAAGTATTGTTTTGCGTGCTATCCAGACAAATCATACCATATATAAGTACATCAGGGTAATAGAATAGAATGCAGAATATAGTGTTACAGCTACAGAGATGGTGCAGAGAAAGATCAACTCTAAAATGAGAGGTTGTTTACAAGTCTGATAATAGCAGGGAAGAAGCTGTTCTTGAATCTGCTGGTACATGTTTTCAAACTTTTGTATTTTCTGCCCGATGGGAGAGTTTGGAAGAGAGTGTAACCGGGGTGGGAGGGGTCTTTGATTATGTTGGCTACTTTCCCGAGGCAGTATAGATAGAGTCAGCAGATGGAAGGCTGGTTTGTGTGAAGGACTGGGCTGTGTTTATGACTCTCTGTACTTTCCTGCAGTCTAGGGCAGAGCAGTTGCCTTACCAAGCTGTCATGCATCTGGATAGGATGCTTTCTATGTTGCATCTATAAACATTGGTAAGTTGAACATGCCAAATTTCTTTAGCCTTGTGCTAGTACCATAAATACAGGTAGGCAAGTAATTTGTGAGATGGCATAAAGAGTCTGAAAAGAGATACAGCCAGGTGAAGTAAGTGGGCAACAGTGTGACAGATGAAATATAATGTGAGTGGGTGTGAACTTGTCCACTTTAGCAGGAAGAACAGACACGCCAGTACACAGCCAAATGGGAAACAAAAACCGAAAGAACTGCAGATGCTGTAAATCACAGACAAAAACAGAAACTGCTGGGAAAGCTCAGCAGGTCTGGCAGCATCTGTGGAGAGAAATCAGTGTTAACCTTTCGGGTTCAGTGACCCTTCCTCAGAACCCTTCCTTAAATGGGACTAGTTTAGTTTGAGAAACTTGGTCAGCATGGACAAGTTGCACCAAAGGGCCTGTTTCTGTGCTGTATGACTCTTTGAATACTATTTAAATGGAGTGAGATAACACAACTCATAGATACAGAGGGATCTTGGTGATCTTGTACATGAATCACAACAAATTAGTATCAGCTTCAGCAGGTGAATATGAAATGGAATGTCGGTTTTGTTGCAAAGGGAATGGAATGCAAAAGTCAGGATGGTTCGATACAGTTGAACAAGGCATTGGCGAGACCACACCTGGAATAATGGGTACGATTTTGGTTCTTGATTTAAGAAGGCTTGGAAATATGTTTGAGTTAGTTCGGGGAAGGTTCGCACCCTGCTGGGTACCCTTTCTCACCGTGTTTACTGTCTCGAACCAGGTCTGTGGTTCGTCCAGGGGCCAGAGCTGTGATACAGACCCGTGCGGAGGTGCCAACTGCCTGGATGATGCGGGGAATCGTCAGTGTGGAGGGGAGAACTGCCCTGGGGCTCTCAGTAAATCTACAGAGGCTCTGCAGAGAGCAACTAACTCAAGCATCATGCTGCAGGACATTCAGAACGAACTTGACTCGGTCGCTCAAAAGGTAAGTAGCAAGGCAGAAGGGAACAAGAAAGGGAGCCGGGCGAACAGGGAGTGATGTGAGATGGAAACAGTGAGGGGAAAGGAGTGAGGTTGAGGGATATACGGGAAATAAAGAAGCAGCAGGGAAGCTGGGGAGTGGGGGAATGCCAAGTGATGGAGGGTTGTTTTGGAGGGTGTAGAATAAGATGCAATGGATGGAGAAGAAGGGAACAAGAGGACGGAGAATTTACAGAAAACCCTCAATTCAAAGTCATAAGGATGGTTCATTCTAATGTCCTGAAATGAGTATTAATGGACAGTGACAGCTTCTGAGGCAGGAGTACAATCACACTGGATCTGGGCTCCAACATTTTAGACAATTAAGCTCCTTTAAAAATGCAATTTCTGTTCTTCTTCCATCTCTGGGGGGGCATCTCTGGCTGAGCCAGAATTTATTGTCTGTCCCTAGTTGCCCCCTTGAGAAGGTGGGGGTGAGCTGCCTTCTTGAACCGCTGCAGTCCATGTGCTGTAGGTAGACCCACAATGCCCTTAGGGAGGGAATTCCAGGATTTTGACCCAGTGACAGTGAAGGAACAGGGCGTGGTGCTCCTATGTATCTGCTGCCCTTGTCTTTCTAGACGGAAGTGGTCTTGGGTTTGGAAGGTGCTGCCTGAAGATCTTTCGTGAATTTCTGCAGTGCATCTTGTAGACGGTACACACTGCTGCTACTGAGCGTCGGTGGTGGAGGGAGTGGATGTTTGTGGATGTGGTGCCAAATATGCAGGTTGCTTTGTCCTGGATGGTGTCAAGCTTCTTGAGTGTTTTGGAGCTGCACTCATCCAGGCAAGTTGGGAATATCCATCGTATTCCTGACTTGTGCCTTGTTGATGATGGACAGGTTTTGAGGAGTGAGGAGGTGAGTTACTTGCTGCCGTATTCCTAGTCTCTCACCTGCTCTTGTGGCCATTGTATTTTTATGGTTAGTCCAATTCGGTTTCTGGTTGATGGCAGCCCCCAGGATGTTGATAGTGAAGGATTCAGTGATAGTAACACCACTGAATGTCATGGGGTGGTGGTTAGATGATCAAAACCTGGCATTTGTGTGGTGCAAATGTCACTTGCCACTAGTCAGCTGAAGCCTGGATATTGTCCAGATCTTGTTACATTTGAACATGGACTGCTTCAGTATCTGAGGAGTCGCGAATGGTGCTGAACATTGTGCAATCATCGGCGAACATCCCCACTTCTGACCTTATGATGGAGGGAAGGTCATTGATGAAGCAGCTGAAGATGGTTGGGCCTAGGACACTACCCTGAGGGACTCCTGCAGAGGTGTCCTGGAGCTGAGATGATTGACCCCCAACAACCACAGTCATCTTCCCATGTGTCAGGTATGACTCCAACCAGCAGAGAGTTTTCCCCTGATACCCATTTTTTTTTATTCATTCATGGGATGTGGGTGTTGCTGGCTAAGCAGCATTTATTGCCCATCCTTAATTGCCCAGAGGGCAGTTGAGAGTCAACCACACTGGGTCTGGAGTCACATGTAGGCCAGACCAGCTGAGGATGGCAGTTTCATCCCTAAAGGACATTAGTGAACCAGATGGGTTTTTCTGACAATTGACAATGGATTCCTGGTCATCATTAGATTCTTAATTCCAGATATTTTTTAAAAATTGAATTCAAATTCCACCATCTGCTGTGGCAGGATTTGAACCCAGGATCCCCAGAACATTAGCTGGGTCTCTGGATTAATAGCCCAGTGACAATACCACTAGGCCATCACCTCCCCTTAATTGATTCTAGTTTTGCCAGGGTTCCTTGCTGCCACACTCTGTTAAATGCAGCTTTGATGTCAAGGGCTGTCACTCTCCCCTCACCTCTGAAATTCAGCTGTTTTGTCCATGTTTGAGCCAAGGATGTAATGTGGTCAGGTGCTGAGTGATCTTTAGAAATAGAGAAGGCCCTGGTTGCTAGTCCCATGAACAGTCTGTTGCAGAGGGCTCTCCCTGTGTCACTTTTACAGGAAACAGAATCAGAACACACTGCCATTTCCAATAACAGGCACACGCTCAGCAGGTGGGAAGTGTCAGCAATAAAAGCAATATACTGTGGAAGGTGGAAATCTGAAATAACCCAGAAAGTGCTGAACAATCTCAGCATGTCCAACAGCATCTGGCAAGAGAGAAACAGAGTTTATGTTTTGAATCTAGCATCAGTCTTCTTCAGAGCTGATGTGAGATAGGTCACTGGGCAGTGTGGATATAATGAGAGCCCTCGAACTAACATTCCAGAATTATCGTACCCCACACTACGTTGAGATTGCAATCACCTGCACTGTCCAAAAGGAAACAGTAAGAACAGCCAATGCTGGAGTCAGAGATAACACAGTGTGGAGCTGGAGGAACACAGCAGGCCAGGCAGCATCAGAGGGAACACAGCGTGGAGCTGGAGGAACACAGCAGGCCAGGCAGCATCAGCGGAACAGGAAAGTCAACGTTTCAGGTCGGGACCCTTCATCAGAACTGGGCTTTTGCACGAGCAAGTTTGAGTACTTATAATCCTTGATGTCCGATAGGGCAGAGAAAAAGCGTTGGTTGAGGGTGTGGATCCTGCATAGAATAAAAAACAGCAGAGGTCCCTTTCAGGCCTGGGAAAGAGAGGCTCTGAGCTGATGTAGGGCTGACTGTAATATGAGGAGATGCCAGCGCGTGGCTGCAAGCGTGGATCCCAGTTCTGATGAAGGGTCCCAACCCGAACCATCGACTTTCCTGTCCCTCTGATGCTGCCTGATCTGCTGTATTCCTCCAACTCCACGCTGTGTTGGCACTGCCCAACAGGAAACTGCCCTAGTATCTGGGTGGGAATATACAGGGCTGTCTTGTTCTGCCTATAAGTCGGGATGTTCAGTTTGAATGAGGTACTGATCTGAGGTGTGTAGCAGATGAATGGCCGCACACTTGCTGCTGGGCGATCTCACCAAGTGTTGAGAAGTCTGCCTTCAGAATACTGATGCTCTGTATCATTCGGCAGATTGAGGAGATACACAGCCAAGCAGACAAGGCGAAATCCAAAGCTGCTGAAACACTGCAGAAAGCCGCCAACACAAAAAACCTCATCACAGACACGGTGGACGATCTACGCAAATTCATTAAGGCAGTGAAAGACTTTCTCAATGGTGAGTAATGCTCTCTCTGCTCTTTTAAACTGAAAGGAAAGCTGCCTCTACATTGTCTCCATCAAACCTCCCAGGGACAGAGACAGCAAGGGGTTAGATACAGAGTAAAGCTCCCTCCACACTGACCCAAACATACACTCCCAGAACAAGGACAACACGGGGTTAGTTACAAAAATAACCATAAGACATGGGAGCAGAAGTGAGCCATTCAGCCCATCAAGTTTGCAACACCATTCAATGAGATCACGGCTGATCTGATAATCCTTGACTCCACTTTCCTGCCTTTTCCCCATAACCCTTGAGTCCCTTCCTGTTTAAAAGTGTCCGTCTCAGCCTTGAATATACTTAATGGCCCAGCCTGCATAGCCCTGTGCAGTAAAGAATTCCACAGATTCACTGCCCTCTGAGAGAAGAAATTCCTCCTCATCTCTGTCTTCAATATGTGACCTTCGTTCTGAAATGATACCCACTGGCCCGAGACTCCCCCACAATGGGAAACAACCTTTTCACATCTACCCTGTCAAATCCCCTAAGAATCTTGTATGTTTGAATAAAATTGCCTCTCATTCTTCTAAACTTCAATGAGTACAGGCCTAACCCTCTAAACCTCTCCTCATAAGACAACCTAGAATCTAAAAGCTTTGATAACAGAATATGCAGAAAGCGTTAGTATAATTAGACAAATGCAGTGTGGGTTTATGAAAGGGAAATGCTACTTAATCCAACAACTGGAGATTTTTGAGAATGTAACAAGTAGAATAGATAAGGGAGAACCAGTGGATGTGCAGTATTTGGATTTAAAGGTTTTTGATAAGGTCCCCAATGTGAAGCTAGGGCCCAGAATTGACACACACAGGATTGTGGGTAATCTATTGGCATGGGTTGTGGATTGGTTATCAGACAGGAAATAGAGAATGGGAATAAATGGATATTTTTCCAGGTTGGAGGCAGTGACAACACATGTATTACAGGGGTCAGTGCTTGGCCCCAGCGACTCATAAGGTATAAATGACCTGGATGAAGGAATCAAAAAGCAATATTTTCAAGTTTGCTGATGACTCAAAAACTGGAGGTGGGACTGGGTTGTAAGGAGGATGCAAGGAGGCTTCAGAGCAATCGAGAAGAGTTGAGTGAGTGAGCATGCACATGGCAAATGTAGCACAATGTGGCTAAATATTAAGTTATACACGTCAGTCTAAAAACAGAAATACCAAATATTACCTAAATAGTGATAGATTGGGAAGCATGGATGTAGAAAGGGATCTGGGTGTCATTGTGCACCAGTCAGTGAGTATAGACAGGCATGTACACAGGAACAGCAGGAGGCCATTCTGCCCTTCAAGCCTGTTCCACACCATTCAATGAGATTGTAGCTGAGTTGTGGCCTAACTCCATGCCTTTGGCCCATATCAATTAATACCTTTGCTTAATAAACAGTTATCTATTTCAGATTTTAAATTAACAACTGATCCAGCATCCACTGCCGTTTGTGGAAGAGAGTTCCCAACCTTTGTGTGTCGAAGTGCTTCCTAAAATCTCTCCTGAACAGTCTGGCCCTAATTCTCAGACGATGACCCTAGCTCTAGAATCCTCAATCAGTGGAAATTGTTTATCTTCATCTACCCCATCTTTTTCCTGGTAATATCTTGAAGACTTCAATCAGATCACCCCTTAAACTTCTAAATTCTAGACAAAGCAAACTTAATTTGTATAATCTCTCCTCAGAACTTAACTCCCAAAGTCCAGGTATCATTCTGTAAACCTGCATTGTTCCTCTAATGCTAATCTGTCCTTCCCAAGATATGGTGCTTAGATCTGCTCACAGTGCTCTAACTGGGGCCTAACCAGGGTTTTGTATAACTGCAGCATAACATCTGCATCATTGTACTTCAGTCCTCGCGATATAAAGGAATTTCATTAGTCTTCTTTATAATTTTCTATAATTGTTTGTGACATTTTAAAGATCTATGCACCTGAACTCCCAAGTCTCTTTGGACATCCATTGTATTTAACTCCATACCATCCAGAAAATCTCCTGATCTATCCTTTTTCAAACCAAAATGCATAACCTCACACTAGCCAACTGCAAACAATTAAAACCAAATAAAGACCAACATTTCATTTGCCGCCCCTGTTCCCCGCTGAACTTGGATGCTCACTTTTTGTGAATCATGGACGAGGACTCCCAAATCCCTCTGTGCTGTAGCTTTCTGAAATCCTTTTCCATTTAAATAATATTTAGCGCCTCGATTATTCCGCCAAATGCAGAGCCTCATATGTCCCCACATTATATTCCATCTGCCGAGTTTATGCCCACTCACTTACCCTGTCTATATCCCTTTACAGAGTCTTTGTGTCATCCCCACCACTTGCCTTCACACCTGTTTTACAGTCCCCAGGTACACTGACAAGGAATGGATAGCAACCGAGAGATGACCTTCCTTCAGCAACAGTGGTTAGCTTCAGCTGAAGATGTAGTTGGTGTGTTGCTTAGGGACTCTAACCAGCAAAGATTCAACTCCAGCTCTCTGACACATCCTCCCAACTGCTCCTAGACCATGACCCCAGCACTGAACATCCAGCAGAGCCATTGATCTCTCCTCCACTGGAGATCACTGGAGACCCCAACCCCAAAATGGCTGTTTCTGCCTCTTTCCCAAGATTAACAGAAAGGCCGGCATGGTGGCTCAGTGGTTAGCACTGCTGCCTTTTAGCGCCAGGGACATGGGTTTGATTCCACCCTCGGGCAACTGTCTGTGTGGAGTTTGCACATTCTCCCAGTGTCTGCGTGGGTTTCCTCCGGGTGCTCCAGTTTCCTCCCACAGTCCTAAGATGTGCAGGCTAGGTGGATTGGCCATGCTAAATTGCCCATAGTGTCTAGGGTGGGAAATGCAGGGATAGGGTAGGGAGTGGGTCTGGTTGGGATGTGTTCGGAGGGTCAATGTGGACCTGATGGGCCGAATGGCCTGCTTCCACACTGTAGGGATTCGATGATAAATATGACTGCACTTGGATCCTGACCTTAAAGAGCCCATGCATTATTGACTCTGTTTAATAGCAGAATGAGACCATAAGAAATAAGAACAGGAGTAGGCCAGTCAGCCCCTTGAGCCTGCTCTGCCATTCACTAGGATTATGGTTGATCTGAATTCCTCACGTCCTCTTTCCTGCCCTTTCCCTGCAACCCTTGATTTCCCGACTGATCAAAAATCTATCGATCTCTGCCTTAAATATACTCAAGAACTCTGCCCCCACAGCTCTCTGTGGCAAGGAGTTCCAAAGACTCACAACCCTCTGAGAGAAGACATTCCTCCTCGTCTCTGTCTTAAATTAGTGCCCCTTTATTCTGAGACTATACCGTCTGATCGTAGTCTCTCCCATGAGGGGAAACATCCTCTCACCATTGACCCTGTCAAGCCCCTTCAGAATCCGACATGTTTCAATGGGATCACCTCCCATTCTTCTAAACCCCAGGGAGTAGAGTCCCAACCTGTTTAACCTTTGTTGATTAGACAATCCCTCCATCCCAGGGATCATCCTACTCACCAGCTGTGATCAATAATGCTGTGGGAAGCTTTTCTGAAAGTTCTCCCTGATGGAATGTTGCTTGTGTTCCAGAGGAAGGCGCAGACCCAGAAAGCATTGAGCTGCTGGCCAACATGGTCCTGAACATCTCGTTCCCTGTCAGCTTAATGGACATTCGCAAGATCCTGCAGGACATTAAAGACACCATGGCACACATCAAGGACGTGGACACAATCCTCAATGACACATCGCGGAATCTGCAGGTCGCTCAGCAACTGGCGCGACAGGCTGAGAAAGTGAAGTGAGTGTTTGTGTGGTGCTTGGGGTGGGGAGAGGGAAGGGAGGGCAAGGGGACTAGTATGATGGGGAGTGGATTACCACTGAGGAGCAGGGACACCGAGGGATGAGGAAAGAAGGGAGAGAAGGAAAGAAAGGCATTACACGGGAGGGAAACACATAGGAAGTGGTACAAGAGGTGAAGCTACAGGAAGGAACAGAGGGAATGCAAGCAAAGGTTATTGATGAAAGAAATTATCCCGAGTGTCTGTACAGTGCAGTGAGCCATGCAATTTTGCCAAAGGGAGAATTAGGAGAGCAGCAATGACTCTCATGCTGAACAGCCTGTCAGTAATGTCCAAATTATTTCCACAAAAAGTCTCCCTTCTTGTTCTTTAAAGCCCAGTCACACTCTCCTGCTTCCTGCTCCTCGCCAGTCCTCCCCCATGGTTTGTGTTTGATGGTTTTTCTCTGAATTTTTGCACACTGTCTACACTCAGACCTTTACAGCACTGAAGGATGTCATTTGGAGCATCATGTCTATGCCAGTCACCACACTAATCCCATTTTTCACCTTTTGGCCCATTGCCCAGTCAATGGAAATGCAAGTAAACATCTAAATGCTGCTTAATTTTTACAAAAGATTCTGACTTAATTACCTTTTCAGGCAGTGAGTTCCAATTCCCACCAACCTCTTGGTAAAACCTTTCTCCTCAACTCTCCTCTTAGGCTTTTACCTCTTACTTTAAATCTATTCTGTTGGTCATTGCTCCCCTCCCCTAACTAATGGAAAAAATGCCTTCCTAGCCAATCTATCCAATATCCCCCATCACTTCATAGACCTTAAACATGTCCCCTCTCAACAACCCGAGTGTATCCAGCCTCTCTTGTTAGTTAAACTGCTCCATTCCAGGCAGCATCCAGGTGAATCTCCTCTGCACCCCCTCCAGTGCAATCACATCCTTCCTATAGTGCACTGACCAGAACTGCACACAGTGCTCCAGCTGTGACCACACCAAAGTCCTGTACAGCTCCAACATAACCTTCTTACTCTTGGATTCTGTGCAATGACGAATAAGGAAAACTATCCCATATGCTTTCTTAATCATCTTATCTATCTGCCCCATTTCTGTCAGGGATCTGTGGATATTCACGTCAAGGTCATAGAGGCCTTTCACAGGGTCCTGTTCTCACATGCTCATTTCTGTCTATTTTGATTTTTCTTATGTTTTCCAGGATTCGAACCACAGAGTTGAAAGGTGACGTAACTGAGGCAAAGCTCACTGTTGAAGATGCAAAATCCAAGGTGGCTTTAGCTGAGAAATCACTGGGAAAGGCCAAGAATAACACTTCTGACGCTGAGGATTCTATCAGGAAGGTATGTTTCTCTGTTCCAGTAGATTGCAGTACGCCAGGGATTGCTGCTCTGTTACTGAACTAATAAACCAGACAACAGGAGGCTTAGGATGTGGTTTCAGTTTAAAATTAACCTGGCAGTTAAAAGCTTGGGTCTGTAAAGGTGAGGTTTTTTGATTGTTGTCAAAACCCAACACTTCACTGATATCCTCGCCCACTTGATGCCCTGACCAATCTGGATGTGTATATGACTCCAGTCCTGACAGCACTGAGATTAACTGAGGTCAGAAGGAAGGTGATCAACCCAAAACATCAATGTTCTGTGTACACATGCTGTGTGTTTTCACCATTTTCTGTGTTGTTTAATCATGACTGCCTCTTGTCTGCCTTTTGATGTAGCCCAATAATTGCATCATTGCTTCAGAATTGGGCAACAACAGCCAGGCAATGAACAGCGTTCCCATCCCCCAGGAACAGATACAAGGAAATTGAACGGTGAGGAGTTGGAGGGTTTCCCACCAGGACATCACATGTTGCCATAAACCCCGGAGGGTGATGGCTATGGGAGAAACAGTGTCGGCACTCAGGATTGGACAGAACAGGGGAATGAAGGACAATGGAGTATGAGGAAGACATGAATGGGGATGATAAATGTGACTGGGCCTTTTTGCCCGTGTGCAGGGTAAAGGCTAGCACAGACTGAATGGCCTGAATGTTCGGCTTCAATGTTATAATATGTGTCCTTGCTTTGGAATTATTATCGACTGGGCTCCGCAATGAGGTTTAGTTATCCCTTCATTTATTTTTAACGTAGGACCTGGCAACTTGCCTCAGGATGATATTGAGTGTGGTCGTTCTGTGCTCAGTATCCCCCAGGGTCCAATACAATCCATTTCCTCGACAATTTCCTGGTCAAGTTGAAATAAAGATCAAGGTCATTGTTGCATCTTGATGTTTCAGTCAGGCTCAGGGTCACAAAGTACAGGTTTACTGCCTTCACTAACTTCAATGCAGTGAAGACTGAAGCCATTATCTACAGTCCCCACCACAAAGTCCTTTCCTACCCACTGATCCAATCGCTCTGTACAGCCACTGTCTGAGGTAGAAGGGGACTTTTCAGCATCTGATTTGACCCTGAGCTGAACATCTACCTCCTCTCTGTCACCAAGTCTGCCAATTTCCAATTCCACTCCCTAACCCCTGCTTTAGCTCATCTACAGTAGAAACAATCATGAGAACTCTTGTTATTCTCAGCTTCATTGCCTCCAATGAGCTGCTGGCTAGTATCCAACCCACCATAAACCTCAGCTCATTTTAAATTCTGCAGCTTGTGTCTGAACTCACACCAAGTTACTTTTCACCTGTCGCCCTGTGTAGACGTGTCTTCAGCTGCCCAGGCCCTAAGCTCCAGAATTCTCTCCCTATCCTGTCTGCCCTCTCTCCCTCTCCCTGCCTCTCTCGCTCTCTATTCCCCTCTCCCCCTCCCTCCCATTCTCTCTCCCTTCCACTCCCCCACTTTCTCTCCCTGCCACCTGCTATTTTGCTCTTCCTCTCTCCCTCCCTCCCTCTTTCCTCACTCATTCTCCCCCCTCCCCTCTTCTCTAGGTCTCTCTCCCTCTCTTCCCCCCGTCCTTCTCTTCCCTTTCTCTCCCCCTTCCATCTCTCCCCCACCCCCAAGGTCTCTCTCCCCTTTTTTCCCCCATCCCTCTCCCCCTTCCCTCCCTCAGTACCTCTCTTTCCCTACCTCTCTTACTCAATCCCCCTCTCTCCCCCTTTCCCATCCCCACCCCCATGCTCTATCTCCATCTCTACACCCACTCTGTCTAACCCCCTCCCTGCCTCCGTCTATCCCTCCCTCTCTTAACTGCTCTCCCTCACTTTCCCCTCCCTCTTCCCCTGTTCTCTATCCCTCTCTCTCTCTCCCTCCTTTTCTTCACTGCTCTCTCTCTCTCACCCACTTCCTCTCTCCCTCCCTCACTCCCTCCTCCTCTGTCCCTGCTCTCTCTCCATCTCTCCCCCTCTCCCTTCCCCCTCCCTCTCTTGTCCCTTCCTCTCCCCCCTCCCCTCGTCTCTCTCTCCCCCTCCCTCTCCCCCGCCATGTCTCCCTCTCCCCCTCCCTGTCTTCCCCCTCCTTTCCCTCCCCCATCCCTTCCTGTTCCACTGGGTGAGGCAGCTTAAAACCTCTCCTCTTTGATCAGGCTTTTGGTCATTTGATCTGATACCTCCTTCTGTAGCTCAGTATCAAAGTTTGCTTGATAATTGCTCCTGTGAAGTGCCTTGGAGCATTAGACGCTGGTAAAGGCAGTATGCAGACAGAGGGTGTTCTTTGTGTCTGAGACTGTGATACCATCACCAGGAGAATTGTTTGCAATGAATCCTATGCTTGTGCTTTTAGCTGGACAATTTTCTGAACGTCATCGAGAGTCAATTGATGGAAATGATGGATCGATTTGTGAACCTGTCCACTGGAGTCCAAATGTTGGAAAATCAAACCATTGCCAACAGGAACAAAGCACAAGACTTACAGAGTGAAGTTGCTGCCATTCGAAAGAGGACAGACCGACTGCACAACGTGAGTCCCTTCCCTACCCCCTTCCCAAAAACTTGTCAAGGTTTACCACCAGAGACAGAAGGTAAACTTTGAGGGCAAACCTACAAGTAATATTAAGATGGACCTGGTGGGATGCATTCTGGGATATTAAAGGAAGTAGCTAATAGCACTGGGAGTAAGGGAATACTTAGTTTCCAGAATAGTCCCAGAGGACTGGAAAACTGCCGATGCAACAGCTATATTTAAAAAGGGAAGGAGACAAAAAGAAAGATTAACTATAGGCCAGTTAACTTAACATCTGTTATTGGGAAAATGTTAGAGTCTATTCTAAAGAATGTAATAGCAGAGCATTTATAGATAAATAATATGATTAGACAGAGTCAGCATGGCTACGTAAAAGGAAAATCATTCCTGACAAATGTACTAGAAGTCTTTGAGGAGGTAACAAGCAGGATAGACAAAGGGGAGGTGGCAGATGTGGATTTTCAGAGGGTGTTTGATAAGGTACCACACGTTAGGTTACTTAATAAGATATGAGGTAGTATATCATCAAGGATAAAGGGTTAGTTTACGAATAGAAGACAGAGAGTTGGGATAAGGGGAGCATTTTCAGGATAACAGCCTGTAAGTAGTACAGTGCCACAGGGATCAATGCTGGCGCCTCAATTATTTACAGTATACGTTAATGAGTAGGATGAAGAAAGTGAATGTCCGATGGATAAGTTTGAAAATAGGTGAGAAGGCAAGTGGAAAGATGATGTAAAGAGTCTGCAGAGGGATAGAGACATGTTGAGCAAGTGGGCAAAAATGTAGCGGATGGAGTGTAATGTTGGAAAATGTGAGGTGATGCACTTTGGCACAAAGAATAGAGGAGCTGACTATTATTTAAATGTAAAAAGACTGCAGAAAGCTACAGAACAGAGTGATTTGGGAAACCTTGTGCATAAATCACAAAAAACCAATCATTCAAGTTCACTGAGTAAAAGGAAAAGAAAAGGGAATGTTGACCTTTGTTTAAAAGAGAATTGAGTATAACAGTAGGGAAGTCTTGCTAAAACCACACAAGGTAATAGCCAGACCACAGCTGGAATATTGTGAACAGTTTTGGGCCCCTTATCCAAGGAAAGATAGACCACATTGGAGGCAGTCCAGAGAAGGTTCACTCAGCTGATCCCAGGTAGGTTTTGAACCCACACTCCCAGGGCCTCAGTCACCAGATTATTCCTCCTGTAACCCAATCACTTGCTCAGAATAAAGGGGCACTAAGTTAAGACTGAGATGAGGAGGAATTTCTTCTCTCAGAGGGGTGTGAGTCTTTGGAAATCCTTGTCACAGAGTCCTTGTGTCTATTTAAGGCTGAGGTAGAGAGATTTTTGATCAGTCGGGGAATCAAGGGTTACGGGGAAAGGGCAGGAAAGTGGATGTGAGGAATGTCGGATGAGCCATGATCCTAGTGAATGGCACAGCAGGTTCGAGGGGCCGAATGGCCTTCTCCTGTTCCTTTTTTTATGGTCTTTTGGCTTCAGAACACAAAGGGCCCTATATAAATGTAAGCTATGAGGAGAGGTTGAGTAGGTTGTGGATGTAATCATAGAATTTAGAAGAATGACAGGTGATGTAATTGAAACTTACAAGATTCTTAGGGGTTTGACAGGGTTGATGCGGAGAGGTTGTTTGTCCTCATGGGACAGTCTAGGAACAAACAGAATAATCTCAGAGCAAGAGGTTTTAAGACAGAGACAAGAAGGAATATTTTTCTCTGCCAGGGCAGTGAAACTGTGGAATTTTTTACTGCAATGGGCTGTCGAGGCTGGATCATTATTTATGTTCAAGTCTGAGACAGATGGACTTTTTTTTAATCAGGAAGGTACTGAGGCTCATAGGGAAAAGGCAGGAGGCTGGCATTGAGGATTATCAGGATCAACCATGATCTCATTGAATGGCAGAGCAGACTTGATGGGCTGAATGGACTACTTTTGCTCCTATGTCTAATTGTCTGCTGCAGATGGGATTTGTGCCTAAATATGTGGGTTGTGAACACAGCCACTGATCAGTCCAATCAGATATTCAGCAGTTATGTCTTCACGAAGACAGTAGGGAGGATGTGGAACTCAGTCCCTCACTGAGCGGCCATGGTGAATGGATACATTTAGGGGAAGTTAGACAGCTGTTTGAGGGAGAAGGGGATGGAGGGTCATGCTGGTAGATTTAGATGAAGAATGATAGTGCAGTGTAAATAATAACATGGACTAGTTGGGCCAAACAGCCTGTTTCTGTGTCCTTTATCTTGTGTAATCTGATGTCAACCGTCATCTGATTTTCTGAGAAGGGTGAGGGTGGACGACTTGCTCAGGACAAGCAACCAACCCTTCTTGTCTCCCTCTGCTGCCAATGGCAGTGAGGTAGCTCCCTCAGGAAATTCAAGGAGGGCAATACATCATGCCAATGTCATTGTCACCATGGCAATGCTGGACTTGGGAATGCCCACCCCCAAATGTGTCTGGAGAGCTGTGGGGAGCAGAGATGCATTCAGCCTGAAACAGTGAGCATTGTACAGCAGCCCAGCCCAGCCAAAGATCCCCACTCTCCCAGATTCTCGGCCCGGGGTCACTTTGGCACTCTTTATCTAACATCCCCAAGGCCCTCGTGGCTGCTTTAAGTATCCTTCTTGTCATAACCTCCGTCTTGAAATCGAGCTGACTCCCTCAGAAAGGGTAGTTCCCCTCTCTCCCCGTCTGCTAATCCAAGATCTCCCTCACCCCAATGGCTGATACTTGTCAGCAGGCTGTTTGTCTGTAGAAGCTTCACAGCTGAGCCCAGACCTGCCCATTGTTTGTACAGGCTCTTTCCAACAGGGTCCCAAGACAGTGATGACATCTGGGAGATTTGGATTATGTCTTTCCAATCCTTTAGGGTCGTGGGACAAATAGTAGCACCATCCTCCCACGCCCCCTCTCCCTCTCCCCTCACAACCAGCCTCCCCCAATGGCAGTGAACTCAGCCAACGCACTGTCCCTGCAATTGTTATTTGTGGCAACTATTTGTTTCTTCTTTGCCTTTTTGTGTGTGTACAGAATGACCTGAAGGAGGTGGAGAAGCTTTATGAGAAGCTGAGAGACAAAATCAGCTCGCTGGGTAACGGTACTGAAGATGGGAATGAAAGAGTGAAGAAAATCAAAGAGGAGGCGGAGAAACTGAGAAACCGTGCGACAGACAGCCTGGCGAGGCTGAACGGTATGGATTACAATTATCAGGAACAGCAGCTTACATCCATATAGGGCCTTTTGTGTTCTGAAGCCATAAGACCATAAAAAATAGGAACAGGAGGCCCCTCGAGTCTGCTGTGCCATTCACTAGGATCATGGCTCATCCGACATTCCTCACATCCACTTTCCTGCCCTTTCCCCGTAACCCTTGATTTCCCGACTGATCAAGAATCTCTCTACCTCAGCCTTAAATAGACACAAGGACTCTGCTCCCACAGCTCTCTGTGACGAGGATTTCCAAAGACTCACAACCCTCTGAGAGAAGAAATTCCTCCTCATCTCAGTCTTAACTTAGTGCCCCTTTATTCTGAGCAAGTGATTGGGTTACAGGAGGAATAATCTGGTGACTGAGGCCCTGGGAGTGTGGGTTCAAAACCTACCATGACAGCTCATAATATTTAACTTCCATCAACATTCGAATTCAGTTTCAGTGATGGTGACCATGAAATGGCTGTTCCAAAAACCCATCTGGTTCACTGATGTTCTTTCGGGAAGGAAACTGCCATCCTTACCTGGTCTAGTCTACATGTGACTCCAGGCCAATGGCAATGTGGTTGATTCTTAACTGTCCTGTGAAATTGCTCAGTTGTTTCAAAGAGACAGTTAACCCTGTCAAGGGCCATGAATGCTGGTTTTGCCAGTAACACCCACATCCTATAAATGAATTTTAAAATAATCACTATAGAATCCCTGCAGTACAGAAGCAGGCCATTCAGCCCATTGAGTCCACACTGACCCTCCAAACAGCATCCCACCTAGGCCCACCCCATCCCTGTAACCTTGCATTTTCCATGGCTAACACACCCAACCTGCACATCTTTGGACTGTAGGAGGAAACCAGAACACCCAGAGGAAACTGACGCAGACACAAGAAGAATGTGCAAACTCCACACAGTCACCCAAGGGTGGAATTGAACCCATGTCCCTGGTGCTATGAGGTAGCAGTGCTAACTGCTGATCCACCGTGCCACTCACTAACCCTACTTAGTGGTCTTTCTCGGTCACCCTTATGCCATAGACATCCCTGAGACTAGCCTGTTACTGCCAGTGACCCATGGGCACTGAAAGCTGTGTGTAAAAGACACATAACAATATGTAGTTGGGGTTGAGATAACACTGTGTAGAGCTGGAGAAAATCTGAAGAAGGGTCCCAACCCAAAATGTCAGCTTTCCTGCTCCTCTGATGCTGCCTGGCCTGCTGTGTTCATCCAGCTCCACACTGTGTTATCTCTGACTCCAGCATCGGCAGTTCTTACTATCTTTGATGTAGTTGGGATTGGTTGCTTTTGTTTTCATTACGACTGTGTTTAGGCATCTTTGTGTTTGAACTGTACCATAGATTTCTTTCTCATATTGGTAAAGTACCCCTTAAAGTGGCACACGCTGCTTTGGCTCTGATTTGATGACACTGGGGCATTAGACCGAGGTGGATGGAAAGATGCCATGGGTACTGTTTGAAGAAGATGAGGGGACATCTCCCCAGTGATCGGTCAATATTTAACCCTCAATCAACATCACTAAAAGCAGATTAACTGGTCACTGTCACATTTCTGCGTGTGGGAACTTGCTGTGCACAAATTCAAACATTTCAGAAAGGTGCTCTGTTGGCTTGTGATTTTGGGATGTTTTAAGGCAGCAAAATACAGTACAGAAATGCAGAATTGTTCTTTTTCCTACTCTCTCTGAATTAATCATCCCATTATCTTCTTCTTTTACTCAGCTTTGGAGAAGAAGTTTAACAGGAATAAGCGAGTGATGACAGGGAAGTTAGACATGTTGCAGGATTTGGAAAAGAACGTCACAGAACTGCTGGAATACATCCGGGAGAGGTCACAGTATTACGGCTTTTGCTCATAACAGAGGCTCTGGCTGTCTGTAGATTCTCCTGTTTCTGTCTCTGATTCAGCTCCTATTCCTGAATTTCTATTTGGCAGCTGCTGCAACAGGTGCTTCCTGTCTGCTACTGATGGGGTTATGACTGACCTGTACTGCCTCCCCACCCTGACGCCTGTAAAAATGCACAAGTCGGCTGATGGGCGGCAGAAGGCATAGTAGCCCATAGCCTGGGTTTGTACTTTGTTTCTTTGCTTACAGCTGAAACTTTATCCAGACAGAAATATGTGGGCCCTGTGTTTTTGTTGTTTGTTGTGTCTGTCACACATTATTGTCTTGCTTTAAAATACAAACTGTACTCTGAAACATTTGATACTGTTAATTATGTAGGAGAATGAGTCCAGCGCTCTCTTCAAAATGTGCCTCAAAGTGTCAAATCGATTAGTGTCTCACAATTCCATTTGGCTTTGATTTTTGTGACATTTTTCTCCAGAATATTTCCCTCGCCCACACTTGTCTGTCTTGTTTTCCTGCTGATTGCAGTATCAAAGGTTCCCACACACCTCCCACTCTCCTGGCTCACTGGAAGTGACTCAAGGAACCCACCCCCCCACCACCGACCCCAGTCTCTGCATTTCAGCCCTGGGCTAAAGTCCTGATGTGCTGAATCCCTCTCCCGGCTGCTTATGTCAAACGCTGTGGGGTGGGGGCTATTCAGGAGCAGATTGTATTCGGCAGACAGTGTTCAGTGTCCCCAGCCTGCCCTACACAAACCCATAGGCATGTACCACCCTCCCCCAGGTTAGTGGGCAGTCACGGGGGAGCAGGATTTAATGTTCTTCTCTCAGGGTGGGGGCATTTAATCAGCTCGGCAGGTGGTGATTGGGGAACTCCTGTCTTCCTGCCTCCAAGCGGATTTAGTCCATCGGAGGCTCCCACACCCCCATCAACCTGGGCCCTTTAACTGGGGGAGGAGGCATTTGTTTATTTGGAGCATCATACCCATCAGGTCTGATCGCAGCCTGTGGGATATCTGGCACATTTAGCCATAGGCCAACATAGCAAAGTGTCTTAAGGTAGGCATTACATAGAATAAAATAGCAGAGAGAGCCTGGCCATTCAGCCCAATTCTGTGCTGCTGTTTATACTTCATGATGCTTGACTCTTAACTGCCCTCTGAAACGGCCACTCAGTTCAAGGGCTATAAGGGATGATCAGTAAATGCTGGCCCAGCCAATGACACCCACATCCTACAAACATACAAAATAAATCCCCACTTTGATTTTATTTGGCAACAGGCCACTGATTTGTACAGGTAGAGGAGGGGCTGCTTCAGGCTAGAGTTCTTGGAGGAGCTGAAATGTAACTGTTCACTTGGGGTTTTTTGTGCCCAGCTGTCCGTTAGTGCCTTTCAATGAGACTATAAAAACTGTAAACATCTCTCAAATCTTATCACATGGTTCTCAATGAACCTGTGACATTTACTGCAAAGAAAATACTGCTCTGTTACATTGTATGTATGAAGATGGGAGAAAATAGTATTTGGTTTGACACATCATTGCAGACAATGTATTGCCATACTCCAACTGCATTAAACCATAAATAAAATGAATATTTTTAAATAATTGTAATGTTTCCCATTATTATTTCCAAATTCAAAGGGTTGCACTGAAGACATTTTTCTAAGGGATGGGGAATGGGCTAAATGTCAGACTGCTGGGAGAACCCTCAGGCAGTGCGAGATTAGACAGGGGTCAGCAGAAGTATATAGTGAATTGGGTCCCATTTCAAGGAAATAGGAATTCAGGATACTGGGAAAGGGTAAAGAAACTGGACATTTTTATTGTTGAAGGCTCTGAAGTAGATTCATTAATATTTTTTAATGTGAAAGGGGGTTCTTTCATTTGTCCATGGGACAAGGTAGTCATTGGTTGCCTGGCATTTATTGCCTGTCCCTAGTTGTCCCTTGAGAAGGTGGAGGCGAGCTGCCTTCTTGACTCCATGTGCTGTAGGTAGACCCACAATGCCCTTAGGGAGGGAATTCCAGGATTTTGACCCAGCGACAATAAAGGAACAGTGATATATTTCCAAGTCAGGATGGTGAGTGTTTTGATGGGAATTGTAAAACTTGATGTAGGTGTAGGACTCAGATCTCTGTGGGGCACCAGTTCAGATGCGGAAACAGTCTACAGTTTCCTTACACTCCCATTCTCTCAGTCCATCACTATTATCACCTGAGAGAAATCGCATAATCTTCCCTTTGCAATGCACCTGCTGATCACAACATACATCACTAGCCCAGCTCTATGAAAGATTCCCTCATTCTTTCTCTAAAGCCCTGAAAGTATTTCCCCTTCCAATATTTCTTGGAGCTCCCCTTCTGAGCATTTCTGTTGGACTTGCTTTGACTATCCCTTCTTCAGGCAGCAAGCTCCCACATCACAACAACTCTCTACTTCAGAAACTGTTCTCCTCAGCTTTGATCTGTTTGTTAGTTAATCATCTTAAACCTGTGTCTGGTCGCCAAACACCCGACAGTTTCTTCATATTCACTGCATCATCAGACCATAGGAAATAGGAACAGAAATAGGCCATTCAGCCCCTCGAGCCTGTTCCACCATTCAAAAGGACCATGGCTGATCCAACATTCCCCATGTCTACTTTTCTGCCCTTTCCCCATTACTCTTAATTCCCCAACTGATCAAGAATCTATTGATCTCAGCCTTAAATATACTCAAGGACTCTGCCCCTCTGTGTGGCAAGGATTCCTAAAGACTCTGAATGAAGAAATTCCTCCTCATCTCAATCTTAAACTGGTGCCCCTTTATTCTGAGACTGTCCCCCCAGTCCTAAACTTTCCCATGAGGGGAATCATCCTCTCAGCATTTACCCTTTCAAGCCCCTTAAGAAACCTGCATGTTTCAATGAGATCACCTCCCATTCTTCTAAACACCAGTGAGTAGAGTCCCAACCTGTTTAAGCTTTGCTCATAAGGCAATCCCTCCATATAGGGATCTGCTGTGACATTGAAGAGGACAATTATTTGGGTATAAATAGTGTGCAAGGCAATGGGGAGACAGCAGGAGATTGGCATTAGGTAATGATGTTTGAAGAGCTGGTACAGGAATAATGAGCCGAATGGCCTACTTCAGCACTAACAATTCTCTGATTCCATGTGATGCCTGGGCCAACATGGTGAAGAGGCGTTGCATAGAATTAACGGCAGAGAAAGAGTCTATTCAGCCCATCTAGTCTGTGCTCAGTTTATCTTCCTGTTGTATACAGATATTGAGCTGAGGGTGTGTTTCAGGTCAGCATGATGATCAGCACAGAATGTAGACAGTCACAACATCCACTATATTGGCCCCCTGTTTAATGCTTGTAAAATAGGTGTCTGGGCTCTCATGTGTCAATGTTGGATTCACCTTTCAAAGTCACTTTTCCACAGCTAATTACACATAATCAGTCAGCTCAAACAGAAGGAGATCTGTGACTTTAACAGTTGTAACAGGTTTGTCCAAAAGCCTAAACACAGTTTGTTTTTCTTTCTAACACTTTGAGAACTGTCTCTTCACAGGTTTTGATACAGTTTATGATCACATCGCACGGTAAAATCTTCTGGTCTGCTTTCCAGGATACTCGGTTTGAATGATCCTGCATAAACATTGAATGTTGGTGCCTTGTTGTACAAACCGTGGGTGAGTACTGAAGGCAGACACTGTCTCTCTGATGAGATTGTGAACTGAAGCAGTGAAGAGACACAGCTGTTAAATAAAGAACTGTTCCTAAAATTATACTCTTTACTATCCCTCCCCTCTGGTTGATTAAGTAAAATGTGCAGACATTCTGAGGGTAGTTCTTGAAGCAGAAACTATTGTATTCAGACCTTTCATCAGAGACAGAAGACACTCTCTGAAGATGCCTGGCTAATTAAGATGCAATGGGTCTAAAACAGCTCTTCAGTCATCAGCAACGGTACAAGTGACCAACACCTAACCCTACACACACTCAGTGCAGAGAAGAGGGGGCGTGGATATCTGCCAGGAACTGTTCGGGAATTCCTTGTGTTCAACAATTAAAAGAGAATGGGACAGGAACTAAATCCTGGGATGGATTGGACATAAATAGGAACTCAAATTAGAAAGGGCTTCTAATTGTGAATTGTCTGAAATCAGACATCTGGGATGACAAAGAGCTCCTGAGGATCTGTATGTAGAATTAATTTAAAGATATTGATTGTGGTTTGTACAAATTAGAAACAGGAGTAGACCATTCAGCCCCTCGAACCTGCTCTGCCATTCAATAAGATCACAGCTGATCAGAAATACTCTACATTCACCGATAACCTTTCAGCCCCTTGGCTCAACAAGAATCTACCCACAGCTACCTCTGAAATTATTCAAAGATAATGCATTCTTTTTGACGAAGAACGTTCCAAAGATGCATGCCCTCGGTTAAGAAAACGTCTCCTCAACTCTGTCTTAAACAGACAGCGACTGGTTTTAAACTGTGACCTCAAGTCCCAGACTGTTCCAAAAAAGGCTCAGAAAAATGGTGTTCACTCTGTCCCTCTCCGCTCACCTTGCAATCAGAGTTTGGGTTCAAACTCCACTTAAAAAATTTCAGACAATAAACCAGGCTGACATTTGCGGTGCAAAGTTAATGCAACAATGCAATGGCAGACGGTCAGTGCTGAGGGAGTGCCACATTGTCAGAGGGTCAGTGCTGAGGGAGTGCCGCACTGTCGGAGGGTCAGTGCTGAGGGAGTGCAGCACCTTCGGAGGGTCAGTACTGAGGGAGCGCCGCACTGTCGGAGGGTCAGCGCTGAGGGAGTGCCGCACTGTCAGAGGGTCAGTACTTCAAAATGCAATGGGACTTGGAAAAATCAAATTGGTTGCAGATCCCAAGATAAGTATTTTGTGGAATATCTATGAGATGGGTTTTTTTGAGCAGCTTGTGGAGCCCCCTAGGGAACAGGTAATTCCGGATTTGGTGATGTGTAATGAGGCAGACTTGGTGCGGGAACTTATGGTGGATGAACTCCAGGATCGAATTCACCCTGCAGTTTGAGTGGGAGTAGCTGGAATCAGATGGAATGGGATTACAATTGGGTAAAGGTAACCAGAAAAACATAAGGGAGGAATTGGCCAGAGTTGATTAGAAGGGGAGTTGGGAAGACAGTAGAGCAGCAATGGCAGGAGTTTCTGGGGATAATTCAGGAGGCACAGCAGAAATTCATCCCAAGGAAGAAGAATCTACTTAGGGGAGGATGAGGCAACCATGGCTGACAAGGGAAGTCAGGGACAGCATTAAAACAGAAGAAATAGCATACGATGTGGTGAAGATTAATGGGAATCCTTGTAAAACCAGCAGAGGACAGTTGAAAAGAGTAATAATGGAAGAGAAGATGAAATATGAGGGTAAGCTAGCAAGTAATATGAAAGAAGATTGCAAGAGTTTCTGAAGGAGATAGCTAAACAGATTGTAGAGGCAGAGGTGGGGATCTTTCAGAATACAAGAGCAGAGATGTACTGCTGAGGCTGTATAAAGCTCTGGTCGAACTGCATTTGGTAAACACATTTTTTCGGTGAGTACATTCTTCCTTCAGTAAGTAGACTAATGTTCCAGGTGAGGTCTCACCAAGACCCTATGCTACTATAGCAAAATATTTTTACTCTTGGACTCAAGTTCCCTTGAAATGAAAACTAACATACCACTTGAACATAGAACATTGAACAGTACAGCATAGCACATTACAGGCCCTTCGGCCCATGATGTTGTGCCGACCTATTATCCTACTAAGATCAATCTACCCTGCATACCCTACATTTTACTATCCTCCATGTGACAATCCAGGAGTCGCGTAAAAGTCTCTAAAGTATCTGACTCCACAACATCTGCCGGCAGCGCATTCCACACGCCCACCACACTTCTGTGTGAAGAACCTACCTCTGACATCTCCCCTATACCTTCCTCCAACCACCTTAAAATTATGCCCCCTCGTAATAGTCATTTCTGCCCTGGGAAAATGTCTCTGACTATCCACTCTATCTATGCCTCTCATCATCTTGTAAACCTCTATCAAGTCACCTCTCCTCCTTCTTCGCTCCAGTGAGAAAAGCCCCAGCTCCCTCAACCTTTCCTCATAAGACCTGCCCTCCAGTCCAGGCAGCATCCTGGTAAATCTCCTCTGTCCCCTCTCTAAAGCTTCCACATCTTTCCTATAATGAGGTGACCAGAACTGAACACAATATTCCGAGTGTGGTCTAACCAGAGTTTTATAGAGCTGCAGCATAACCTCACAGCTCTTAAACTCAATTCCCCTGCCAATGAAAACCAACACACCATACGCCTTCTTTACAACCCTATCAACTTGGGTAGCAACTTTGAGGGATCAATGGACGTGGACCCCAAGATCCCTCTCTTCTTCCACGCTGCCAAGAATCCTGCCATTAACCCTGTATTCTGCATTCAAATTCGACCTTCCAAAATGAATCACTTCACGCTTTTCTGGGTTGAATTCCATCTGCCCCTTCTTTGCCCAGCTCTGCATCCTGTCAATGTCCTGTTGCATCCTACAACAGCCCTCCATGCTGTCCACAACTCCACCAACCTTTGTGCCATCA